TAAAGACTGTAACGAAAAGGCCGTAAAATTGACTGGATTGCAGTTATTTTAAAAAACCGCGCGGTATGCGGGAAAAATCTCGGATATGTTAACGGTACATTGAACTAAGTTCCGATTCAAGGGGGTGATTGATGTTGCACTTGCAATTCTCTTGCAAAACTTGGCGAACGTAGTAAAAATTGTCAAATTGTGCAGCTGCGAGTTGGTTACTTGATAAATCGGGAAAAATTTGTATCAATAGCATTGCTCAACTTTCGCTGAAAATGCATCCCGAAAATACGTCATACTATTAATTATATATTAAGCTACAAGGGTGGTAAGTGAAGTTTCCTAGGTCAACGGTTACGTCTATTGATTCGTTTCGGAGATATTCGCATTTGAAATTGTTTTTTCTAAAAAAACCAAAACAAATGCGATCTAAGTCACCTTTATTAAAATTTTATTTTGACGCTTCAATTTGTTTGTTAAACTTAAGTGAACCTGTCAGTTCTCCGAAACGAATCAATATAGAATTTAAAAAGCAAAGCAGATTAGTAATCACGATTAAATTGGCTTTCAAATAATGTGCCATTTGCCATAGGATTCCATTTAAAATTTTAGGGGTTAAGCTCCCTACGTAGACGGGTGAAGACTTGGGTTCGCGATTTGTATTCCAAAAGTTGTCCCCCTCGAAGACAAAATTGACGTGTTCGAGGATTTTTCGAAATTTCTAAATTTAATACCCTAAAAGCCCTCTGTATACTTCTCGTTGGGCCACTCTGTATAGAAGTATTGGCAGAACGGATAAATAAGTTTGTAAATGCCACTTTTTTCGGTGAGAAGGATGGGGTCTTTTGTGTGAGACAGAAAGGATTTAACATTGTTGTCAGCTTGGAAGATTATGTTTATATTGTGTTTTTTGATATTTTCAAAGGCATTCGAGGATGAACCAATAAAGGGTAAACAATAGAAGGGGTGATTTTTTCCGGAACCCCCATTTCGAGCCAGAATGGACAACCAAATTTCATATTCCACAGCCGACCGAGCTTCTACAGTCCACAATTATTTAAAACTGAGTTAAAAAAATGAAGAGGACCTCACTTAACATATGGTTGAACAGCCCACTTGCTTAAAAGAAGAACTTTTTCCTAAATACATAAACATCAAGACGAAGACCAACTCCACCAGAGCCCAAAATGCTATCATCACAAACACTCAAAAACCTTAAGAAACTTAATTTTCATTCCCAACCTCAACCGAATACCCCTGCTTCTTTCTTCAACTTCCACTCCAATGTATCGAATTTAAGTTCTACCACCTTTGACAAAGAGGAGTTCCATCTCCTAAATTTGTGTCTAAAATATAACCCCTTCAAAGCTAATAAAAAAACAGTGGAAGAACTTAAACGCAATCTTGAATGTATCATACAGAGCCAGTTGCTTACATAAAATTACTAACTTAAGATTAACACCTGGAAAGCTCAACCGCCACATTCTTAAAACTTTAAAATCCATAAAAGCGGAAAGGCAAAGATAATAACCTTATTTTCACGAGTGACTACGTGGAAAAAGTCGAGAATTTCCTTAAAGGTGATGATTTCTCTGTTTCTAACATCAAATGCGAAAACTATAAGCTTCAATCAAAACTTCTTATTTTTACAATAATTTCTTGCACCATCCTGTATAAAATTTTTGTTTTACAGTTTCCTTTGCTAACCTCGGCGTCTTAACCTAACTTTTCACGTCTTCCACGTGCTAAGGTTCTTCTATTATTTTAACTTAATAATGTAATTTATTCAATCAATTCAACTTTGTCCCTCTTACAGTAAGTTTTTGCTATTTATTGTTATATAATTTGTAATTCAATTTTTTACATTCCGGCTTCACCGTATTACGTAAGTTTTTTAAAATGTAACTCAATTTTTAACATGTTTTAACCAACCCCCCAAGGGACCCTCGTGTGCAGTAATGTTTCTATATTAATCGTGTGGTTCCAACCAACCTGCCCTTAATTGGGTTTTAATTAAAATGCCAAAAACTCCGCCCGGCCCTTTATACGGTGTGTAAAGCGATGGGGTATACAAGAGGGAATTTTTTTTAAAATATTGATTTATGAAAAAATTTATTAAGTACCAATAACGTTTCGATAATCTAAAATTTATTTATAAAAATCTGGAAAAATAATAAAATTAATTTTTTTTTATTGAAAGTTATCATTCTACATTATAATCAAGATAGCGTATTGCTTTCAAACCACAAACAATCGAAACGTTATTGGTACTTTCAAAGCAAGCAAAAAATACTATGAAGAATAAATTTGTTTCATAAATCAATATTTAAAAAAAATCCCTCTTGTATATCTCATACACAGTGTATCTCCGTTTATTGTAAGTACTTATTAATAACTAATTTAAGATTACTTAAAGATCATTTTTAGCTTTTCGACACAAGTATTTTCAACTTTAAATTACTCTACTACCTGAATTATTATTAACCACAACCAAGCCTTTATTAAGTAGTCCTTTTAGTACAACTTTTATAATGTAACTTTACTCTAGTTTTTTACCTCACGATTATAGACAACTATTATTAAATTACATAGGGAAGGTATAATCCGTTAAATAATAATTTAAAAATATGTCATATGTCTTGTTTTCTTGTCTTTTTTCGTATCTATTACAGTTTTCGCAAAAAAGTTAGAAAACCATAAACCAAGACCAAACTTCGGGATGAGGGGGGTACAACGTCAGGTGGAGGAGAGGGGAAAGTTGCCAGTTTTGAACACCACACCCAAAGGTATAAATAAATAAATAAATAAAGTTACGAAACTTTATTAATTTTGTTTGTGTAAACAACATAAAATGACCGTACTAGATAGTTATTGAGTTATTTTGCAATAAAACACAAATTTTTTGGTCAAACTGAAAAAAAAATACTTCCAGGGCGAATTTTTGGAGGAATTTTATATGGTATTGTTCATGACGATAAAACGATGCAATTGACGAAAAAAAAATCTTCCCTGGGAATTTTTTCGCCAAAAATATCTCTGACGCCTGGACTACATAGGATAATTTGGAATAAGTGATGTCACTTATTTAATTACCAGGTTTATGGCCAGTTGCACCGTCAAAATTAAGTATTAAGTTAAGCATACTTAAATGCTATAGCAACGATTGTCTTAATAATCGTTGCCATAGATTTTAAGTTCGACTAAACTTTATGCAAGGCTTAATTTTGTCGGTGCAACTGAGCATAAGTGTTCATATACGAGGATATCATCCAGGGCATGAAAACCCGCTACCACAATAACCCTACTGACCTCCGCACAGCACAACGCTATTTGCAGTGTCACCAAAATATATGATGATAAAGCTATTCAACCGTCTTCCACAAGAAGCCAAGAATCTGACCTCTCTTCGCCCATTTAAAAGATATTTAAAAAAAGTATCTCATTGACCACCCATTTTACAGTATCAAAGAATATCTCGCCAATTCATAAGGCGCCTTATGTACTTCAGCATTCCGCTATTGCACGTATTTGTTTGTCATCTTATTTATTTATTTTGTGACGTTCCTATACTCTTATATGTAGTCTACATGGAAAATAAAATGATTGATTGATTGATATTTTGACGCCAGATAACAAAAAATGTACAAACTGTTTTTTGGATTTTTTGGATGCAGTATTTTTGGTTTAGTATTTTTGGTTTAGTATTTCCCATACACCACATCGGAGAAATTGAAATCTAATAAAAGTAAGACGCATATCTACGAGTTTATTAGAATTGTATGTGTTAGAGTTAGATCATCAGACACAATTCCGACATTTTCGATTGATATGTAAAGAAATTCACGAAATTGTAAAAGTACCTGAACTCTTTACCTCGGTCAAAAGCATTGAAAGTTTTTCTCTGTATGTGCTTGATCTTCATCATAAAACTCATAAAGCTCATACAACATGAGAAGACGTGGTGATTTAGGTACTGATGTTATTTCGTATGTTAAATCACGCACAATTCCCTCCAGTGAGAGGTGTGTATGTTACGGTTAATGTTAATAATCGGCGAATGTACACATTCCCCGGGAAATGTACACATATCCCATAATTATGGGAAGGGAAACTTAGCCAACATCGTAGGAAAATATGTGCCTTCGGTTAATATGCACATTCACCGGAATTTTTACTTTTAACCGTAACATATACATCTGTCAAGACACATAAATTATAGCGAGTTCTCTTTCATTTAAATTTTCTTCGATCCTTATCGCAATCTTAATCGAAACGATTAGTCAATTATAAAAAGATGTATCTTTCTTTACTTAATTTGAAATCGTAGTTCCCGATTTTGAAATATGTACATACGGAAATCTGCATATTACCTACTTACTCGGAAATAGTTCAATTTGTGCTTTTGGATAAACTTGATATCCGATTGGTGGTAGTAAAATCAACTCGGAGATTTTGATTTACAAGAGAATTCTGTTCTTTTAAATTTTATGGTCGTAGCAGGGCACTGAAAATATGCAGATCACTTTTCGCATTTCTTAAATTCCGAATAAACGACATAAAAGCACCGCGTCTTAAAAGTCGGTTGCAACAGAATTAACGCAAGTTTTAAAGTATACGTCGGAACCGATAAAATCGAAATATTTCATCGAACATGCCCTGAACATAAAGTTTAGCTGTACGAAACATTGTTAATCGTCGATCTATGTTTTTTACGATGTAAAAATCAAGCATCGACATGATGAGAAATGGCTTGTTAATAAAATCATATTTTCGAGCTTTATGACCGAACGAAGCAGACTGCGTAAAGTATTATGTTAAGCTTAAGCAGATGCAAGAGATTTAACTCACCAACATTAGGTTGAACAATGTTATTAAAAAAGCATAATTAATGAACACGCGTTGGGCGCCATTGGAGGTAGTAACATAAATGAAAGAATTAAACAATTCTTGCGTGAAATTATTCTTAATTGTGCAAAAGCGTCCTGATGTCGAATTTTGAAAATACTACTTACTTCCAGAAAAGAAAAACTATGACAAGTTCCAATCCATTTAATCGCACTAAGTCCAGTAAAAAGCGCACTAAATATTTTCCGCGAGCGCGCAAAAAAGGGGGTTCGATTACGATCCTGATCCTCGAAGCGCGATATAATCGCAAGCGGTAGCTTTCGGTTCACCTCTCACGACAACTAGAAACCGAGTAAGCTATGGAAAGGACGAATAGCATAAAGAAGCCGCTTGCATGGTTAGTTTCGGAAGAGAGGAACTCGTAGTATCTCTCTCGCGCTTTTATTAATATAAAGCCAAAACTGAATCTCTTCTTTCACTATTTTGTTACACCCTTCTAACGTACAATTAGCAACGCTACAGTTGATTTAAAATTTTAGATGGTGGAGTTAGAGAAACTGCACCCAAACCTTTAATTTTGGCAGTCACCTTCTGGGGAGAGAAAAAATGCGATGTAATCGCCCACTTCCTACACTGTGAAGGTTTATAGTTTGTATAATGGGACAATTCTATTATTTGGGACTTCAATTATTTGCATATAACCCTGATTCAGTGGTACTTTCACCAAGAAGATTTATAAACCAACGGCGTCTGATTTTGCATTGTCTCATGGGCGTTAGTAAAAGCTCATCCCCAAGATTGACAGCTCTGAAGATATTCGAGCAATTTAATATAAATAAACTTTTAATTACCAACTTAAGCCTACTTAATTTTATTGCCTACCAACACACCCTCTCAATTAAGATAATTTAGATCTCCAAATGTCAATAAATCTAACTTATTCCGAAACATTTTCCCAAAAGATCATCCATCGCTCATAACAGATGCTGCATTTGCCCGATGTTTCTTTAACAATTGGAATACAGACGGAATTCGAATATTAAAATTAATCCATTAGTTAATCTAAGTTTCAGTAATTAATCAAACAAGGTAGTTTATTGGCGTTTCTGTATTAAAAACTCAACGGTCACAGAGCGTTTCCGATTTGTCACCTGTTTTTACGAACCTAGTAAATGTTGAGTTTCATGTTAGTTTGGTTCAGCCAAAAATAAAAATTTATAAAAAAGTGATTGTTAAAATACTCTCGGTCTTTTGTTTCCCTCACAACCTCAAGCTATAATCTAAAGCTTTTTTCCCTTGTATAACAAAATTGTGGCACTTCCAGTTGAACTGTAAGTGACCTTAAATTTCGAATTTTTAATGGTAATTTTTGTCTTTTACGCCTAATACTTTGTTCTTGGTACTTTATACGAAGTTGCACTACAGAAACTCATTTACTTACTACATTTATTACACCTCTGAAATTTACCGGTGTCACTCCAGAAGAAATGCTACTTACAGTCTTACTAGAAAACTAGTGCGAATTGTAATGGAATAAGAATATAAATATTGATTTGCGCATGACGTGACAATTAATTATTAATTAACTGATTAAGTAAAGCGTTGCGTGAAGTCAGTAATAATCGTAATGTAGTAGATATAGGTAGGTGTTGAGTTGTAAATAAAGTTTTAAGTCATCTTCACGAGTGGTTATTTTCCCTAAATGTTCTCTCCACCAGAGGGAACATTACATGGCGATCCTGCCTAAAAGTGTAAAATTATGTGATACGGATGTAGGACTAGAAAAATAAACCTCACAATGTGCAATTCACGAAGTGTTCAAAGAAACAGGAGCAAATTATCTTTGAAGCGGCTGGGTCAGGAAACAACAACGCGAACCAATCGAGCTCGGAAGGTTCCAAATTAGTCGAAATTGGCGTAGTAGTCATCATCGTCCTGCTGGTGGTAGCTGTATTATATGTGCTGTACATACGTAAAGTGCAAGAGAAGTTTAGAAAATCACATCCGAAGGGAAGTACGTCGCAGCCAGGAAATGCTACAGATTCCAGTTCGCCCAGCCAATTCGAGGTCTGAATCAGGCAACTGAACAATAGGTAAAATCAATGCCGTTTAAAAGAGTTATGCTAAATACAGAATTTTCAACATTTTTGGAAAAAGTTAGTGCTTTTAGAAATAATAGGAAAAAAGACAATAATGAGAGGCGACAAGATTTAGGGTTTAATAATAGGAAATTAGAAGAGCTAGGAGTGCTTATATTAGAATTTAACAAACTAAAGTTAAGGTTTTATGAGGAGCAGAAAAATATTTCAAAAGTTGAGGTCGAAAAATTACGACACTGTATAGGGTTAATAGGTGATATTTTAAACGAATCGCATTTATTAATAGACGATAGGTTAATTAATTAAAAAATCCAAAATGGGCGAGGCATTTTGTTTGAAAACTGCTTCCATTCTCTTACCGTGTATGGACGGGAAAGAGAGTACCACTCGACAACTCATAGATTCGAGCAAATTATATGCCAAATTATTAAAAGCGGAAGATCAAAAAGTTTTAATAGAATACATACTGAAAACACGTTTATCTGAGCAGGCGAAAGTTAGGCTGAATAGGTCATACGGAGACTTAGAGTCCTTGGTTGCCGACATTAGTGAAAATTTTATTACCAAAAAGTCCGCCACTGTTCTTGCCAACCAACTCCATAACGCTAAACAACAAAGTCAAACGGTTGAGCAATTTGCAGAAAATATTGAACAATTGTTAAGTGATCTATCATTAGCCCAAGCTGGAAACGACGACGATCTTTTAAAATCATTAATCACGGTTAACGAAAAAATTGCAATCAATTCCTTTTGTAACGGATTACGGAATCACGAGTTACGAACTATTGTCAAAGCCCGAAATTGTGCGAAACTAAAAGATGCAATAACAGTTGCGAAGGATGAGGAGGTAAATAAACCGTCAAATTCAAACTTTTTCATTTTAGTAGAAATAATTGGAAAGGTAACAAATTCGGTCAAAATCGCTATGAAAATAGGTGGTCTAATCAAACATCGCAATTTGCACAAAATAGAACAAATTACCAAAGGTACAATGCTCCGAAGAATCAGATGAATACGCATAAAAATTACACGCGTGCTAATAATCCTCATTATAGAAATTTCAATACTGTGCGGCAATATGGTAGATCCAATTTCACAAGTAATACTTCTGCAGGAAATAGCGGAAAAGTCAATGCCTTCAGCACTGAATCAACTGAAAATAGTAATAAGCCAAATAGGGAAACATTTTTTCGTTCCTAAAGAAAAATTAAATCACGTAGACGCCAGTAACATTGATTTAAATTATTTACAAATCCTCTATGGTCACAGAAATTTAATATTTTTAATTGATAGCGGCGCCTCAATTAGCATATTTTTTTCAAAATCCTTAAATAAAGATGAACTTATACAAATAAATGATAATGTCCAAGTCAACGGAATTGCTGGTTCCACCAAAACAGATGGATCAGTTTATCTTCCATTACAAGTGGAGAATTTCAATATCGCTTACAAATTTTATATTCTTAACGAAAGTAACAAAAACTTTGATGGTATTTTAGGGTTAGATTTTCTTACTGCCTACAACGCTATAATTAATTATGAAAATTTTACAATATCCCTTTCTAATAAAACTCATGCAATCACAATACCCTTAGAATCGAATTATAATACAATAAGTTGCATTCCATCGAGGTGCGAAATTATTAAACATTTTTGGGTTGAAACTGAAGAGGAGTGCGTTATTCTTCCAAAAGAAATTTCCAAAGATATTTTCACTGCCGGAATCATAGTTAAACCAGATAATCATATGGTACCCGTACGATTTTTAAATACAAGCGATAGGGAGGTAATTTTAGTCCAGATGTGATTAAATTATCAAATTTTAACTTATATAACCTTGACACTAACGAGATATGCGTTGATAGAGTCGACAAATTATTAGGATTAATTAATTTTGACAAATTAAATAGGGAAGAATCTGATACAATCCAGAAAATATGCGCGAAATACGCCGACGTGTTTATTCTAGAAAATGATAAAGTTACCGTTACTAATGTGGCTAAAGCGGAAATTAACTTAAAACCTGAGGCACGTCCAACTTACATTAAACCATATCGATTACCAAACTCTCAAAAACACGAAGTTAACAAACAAATCGACCAATTGCTTAAGGATGGGATCATTGAAGAAAGTAAATCGGCTTGGTCATCACCCATTCTAATAGTTCCCAAAAATTTAGGTAATAATGAAGTCCAAAAATGGCGAATAGTCGTAGATTATCGTCAATTAAACAAAAATATTGAAGATGACAAGTTTCCACTTCCGAATATTACAGACATTTACGATGCACTAGGAGGTGCTATACGTATTTTTCACATTTAGATCTCACGCAAGGGTTTTATCAGGTAGAATTAGAGCCAACATCTAGAAAATATACAGCATTTTCCACTGCTAAAGGTCAATTCCAAATGAAACGTTTACCGATGGGATTAAAAATTAGTCCAAATTCATTTTCACGAATCATGACAATAGCATTATATCGGGATTAAACTACGAATCGTGTTTTATTTATCTCGACGATCTTATCGTTTTCGGAAACAACTTGCAAAATCATAATCGAAATTTAGTTAAAGTTTTAGAACGATTAAGAAAAGTGAATCTCAAATTAGTTAAAGTGCGAATTTTTGAAAAGAACTTCTATATTTAGGTCATATGGAATCACATGGAATTTCTCCGGATCCAAGTAAAATTATCGCGTTGCAATTATCCAGTACCTAATAATGCCGAAGAAACTAAGAGATTTGTAGCTTTTGCTAACTACTACCGTAAATTTATTCCAAACTTTGCAAAAATTGCAACACCATTAAACCAATTAACGAGAAAAAATTTTAAATTTGTTTGGAGCAAAGAGTGCCAAAATTCATTTGAAAGTTTAAAACAAAAATTAACTGAAAAACCAATTTTAGAGTTCCCAGATTTTTCACCGGAAAGTCAGTTCATTTTAAAAACCGACGCCAGTGCGTTTGCATTAGGTGCGATCTTGTGCAATAGTAACGATAAGCCAGTTGCTTATGCAAGCAGAACATTAAACAAAGCGGAAACAAATTACTCAACTATCGAAAAAGAACTTTTAGCAATAGTGTGGAGTGTCAATCATTTTAGACCCTACTTATTTGTTCGGAAATTTCAAATTTTTACAGATCACAGGCCACTCGTATATTTATTTGGAAACAAGAATCCTTCCTCTAGATTAACTAAGTTTCGTTTAACACTTGAAGAATATGATTTCACCATTAATTA